ATATACAACTGAGGCCAGAATTTTAGAAAGATCCAATTTTGTGTGGCTCTGTAATTTTGTCCTAATGTGCCTAACACTTCAGGTCTTAAGAGTCAAAGGCACTGAATATTCACAGTTTTAATCGAATTGAGTCAATTCAAATGCACATGGGCTGCTAATCACTGAGTACTGAGTCCAGTATATCAGTGATATCCTGTATATTAGTACTATGTTAGGATTTTTCTATTGCAGAAAGCAAAATTGCAATCCCATTCTTGGGTGGGTGACAAGATTTTGTGGTTTTCTCTAGAATTTCGTCCATGGGCATGTGAAGTAACATCTTTATAGTTCTCCTGGAGTCCCTTTTACTGTAACTGTGCCACAGTTTACCTTTAAAGAGTGAGGCTTTCAGACACCCAGTGCTCTTCAGAGTGAGACCCGAGAGGCTGCACGTGGAAGCCGAGTGATTTTACTGGAAGTAAGGGTTGTATCTCTGTTCTCTCAGGTGGGACACTTGTTTATTGTAGGCACTTCCACTGGAAAAGTGTGTTTATGTCAAGGACTGTAGAAGAAAGAGAATGGTGAAAGGGGGCATTTCCTCCTTACACTAGGAATAATGAGTTCCTTTTAAATGCTTGTAGACAAGTGAAAGAATCAATAAGCCCTGTTACAATTGTGGCTTATTGGAGTGAAGACATTTGTTTTGGATTAGCCTTTAACAGGGCAGAAAAAAAATACTGTAGTTTCAAAAGTTACCTGCTTGGGTTACAAGCTATGCAAGGTGCAAGAAAGCAGTAAATACAGTTACCTTACCAATTTAGGTTCATTTACATACATTTCTCTATAGCTGTAGTGCAGTTTCTGTTTCTGAGGGTTAGGTTTTTTCTTGTTTTCCTCTTGTTAGAAACAAAGCATTGTTAGTGAGATAGCCCTGTATCTGTGCCTGTGTTCCTGAAAAGCTCCTGTAAACTTGTTCTGGGATACTAAATTGCTTTTTTGTTGTTGGACATTGTAACAAGATGACATATTAGAAGTGCTAATGGAATTAATTTGGTGTAGTCATGTTATGTACTTGTGCCAGAAGGTGCCCTCCAGGAGCTGTTTAGGGTGGAGAGAAGGAGGCTGAGGGAAGACCTTATTGCCCTCTATAACTACCTGAAAGGAAGTTGTAGCCAGGTAGATGTTGGTCTCTTCTACCGAATAATAAGTGATAGGACAAGAGGAAACAGCCTCATGTCCGGTTAGGGTACGTTTAGATTTGACATCAGGAAAAATTTCTTCACTGAAAGAGTTGTCCAGTATTGGAACAGGCTGCCCAGGGAAGTGATTGAGTCACCATCTCTGGAGGTATTTAAAGGATGTGTGGATGTGGCACCTAGGGACATGGTTTAGTGCTGACAGTGCTGAGTTAAGGGTTGGACTCAGTTTTAGAGTTCTTTTGAACCTAAATGATTCTGTATGGATTTTTTTGTTGTTTTTGCTGCTGCTGTTCAAGCTAAGCTCTGTTGTTACCTATCTTTGACCCCTACTCACAGTGTTTTCACTGTATAGTTCTAAAAAAAGGCATCATGCACCAAGATCCTGGCTGGCTTTAAACTGGTTTCCTTGGTCCTGGTAGGAGAGAGTGCAGTTCTGTGCTCGGTGGCACGGCTGTCTGTGTGCCAGAAGGAGAAGACCAACTTTGCTGTTTAGGTCAATTACACATTCCCAAATCGGTCAGGGTGACAAGAAGCTAACACTGTAGGCCTTGCGTGGTAGTTTTCCACAGGGAATGCCGACTTAATGAATATTTTATTTTGTATTTTCTCCACAGGGATTTTGTACTGAGAAAACACCCAGTGTGATCCTTTGACTACTCCTAGCTATTTTTGTCCAAGAGAGGAGAACTGAGCCACTGAGTCTTATGCTGGTGCTGCAATGCTGAGTTATAGCTTGACTACTGTGAAGAATCTTCCTCTGAAGAAGAGGCTCTGTTTTCTGCTGAAACTTGTGGGCTTTGTCACCTCAGTGTTCATATTTTGTGAATTTTTAATTTATTATGTGGTGATTTTTCAATGCCGATGGCCAGAAGTGAAAGGTGGAGCTCCCATGGGTGAAAAAGAGACTTCAGCTTCAGTCCTAAAGGCCATGATTTTAGCTGATACTCACCTACTTGGTGAAATCAAAGGACATTGGTTTGATAAACTAAGAAGGTAATTATTAATTTTTTTAATAACCTCTATCCTAGTTTTAGTATTTTTAATAGTAGCTAATGAGATAGTAATTCACTGTTCTAATTAATTGCTGTTTAATGGAATTGTAATGAAAAAAATAAACAAGCTGGTATTACTTCTTGCATGTGTTGGTCCTGTTTGTATTGTGGTAGAATTACCCACCAGGTAGGATGCACCTACTGTACATAAAGCTGATTTCTAAGTATTTAATTTGAATTTTGTATTATATTGTCATATTTCAGTGTGTGGAAGTAATTTTCCCTTTCTGTTGCCAAGCTGTGTCTGTATATTCAGAGTTGAGGATCCAGAGGTTAGGCAGTGATGACTGGCTCTGTATTTTCCTTTCAGGGAATGGCAGATGGAGAGATCTTTCCAAACTGCCTTATGGTTACTGCAGCCAGATATTGTTTTTATTCTGGGAGATATCTTTGATGAAGGCAAATGGAGCTCACCTCAGGTATGACATCATCAGCTCTCTTATTTCAAAAAATGAGGATTTCTTGAAGGAAATGGATGACAGAAGAAAGCAGACTAGGTATGCAAGGCTTTGTTTTTTTTGCTACAGTTGTCCTGTTGTTGGTAGAAGTTTCTAGTCTTTTAGATATGAGTTCATTTTTGGTAGTATCTTGACAATTTTGCCCCTCATATAAAACTTACAAAATGTTAACATCTCAGTGTGTGCTTCTGTATTACATAGTTTTGATGGGCTGACCCTGGCTAGGTGCCAGGTGCCCACCAAAGCTGCTCTGTCACTCCCCTCCTCAGCTGAACAGGGGAGAGAAAATACAAGAAAGACTCATGGGTCGAGGTAAGGATGGGGAGAGATCACTCAACAGCTACCCTCATGGGCAAAAGAGACCTGGGGAAAAATAATTTAATTTATTGCCAGTCAGATCAGAGTAGGGTACTGAGAAAATAATTCCAAATCTTAAAACACCTTCCCTCCATCCCTTCCTTCTTCTTGGGCTCAATGACATTCTCAATTCTCTACCTCATGCACCCAGCAGCACAGGAGGATGGAGAATGGGGGTTGCAGTCAGTTCATCACATGTTGTCTCTGCTGCTCCTTCCTCCTCAGGAGGACTCCTCACACTCTTCCCCTGTTCAGTGTGGTGTCTCTCCCATGGGAGACAGTCCACCAACTTCTCCAATGTGAGCCCCTTTCACAGGCTGCAGTTATTCAAGAGCAGACTGCTCCAGTGTGGGTCCCCTGCAGGGTCACAAGTCCTGCCAGCAAACCTGTTCCAGCGTTAGGTCCTCTCACCACAGATTTTGCCAGGACCCTGCTCCGGCATGGGCTTCCCATGGGGTTACAGCCTCCTCAGGCATCCACCTGCTCCAGCCTGGGGTCCTCCGTGGGCTGCAGGTGGATCTCTGCTCCTCTGTGGACCTCCATGGGCTGCAGGAGGCCAGGCTGCTTCACCATGGTCTGCACCATAGGGGAATCTCAGCTCCGGTGCCTGGAACACTTCCTCCCCCTCCTTCTTCAGTGACCTTGGTGCCTGTAGGGCTGTTGTTCACATACTCTCACTCCTCTCTGGCTGCAATTGCACAGGTTTTTTTCTGCCTTTCTTAGTGTTATCCCAGAGGTGTTGCCACTGTTGCTGATGGGCTCAGGCTTGGCCACTGGCAGCTCCATCCTGGAGCCGGCTGGCATTGGCTCTGTCAGACACAGGGGGAGCTTCTGACAGCTTCCCAGAGAAGCCACCCCTGTAGCCACCCAGTAACAAAACCTTGGTGTGCAAACCCACTGCAATACTAGTGGTCCCCTTTGATACTGTGGAACAGCATTAATTTCTCCTTTTGTTTTTTATATGTAGGCATGGGCAGATGATGTCAGGAGATTTCGGAAAATGTTCAAGTATCCAGTTTCTACTGAGCTAGTGGTCATCGTTGGGAATCATGACATTGGATTTCATTATGAGTAAGTCTTGTCAGTGAAAGGAGTACCCAAGTGCCAAGAATGAATGTCAGTAACTGGTTTTGTGTCTGAGCGACCTGTTTTGTGGTTATATGGAAAGTTTTTGATCATTTTGTAATCAGAAAGGATTGTAGTTTAGGGTAAGACCTTAAAAGACATCCACTTGTGCACAAAACAGGTTTCAGGCTACTTTTATACTTCTGTGACCATATGAGAAGTTGTTCAGAGCTGATCTTTCTGTGCTGGCTTGGAATCCTTGTGTTGGGCCTCCTTGTCAGAAAAGTGTTTAGTGGGAGCTATTTCCTTTCCTGTTATCTTGGCATAGAAGAGTGTGAGTGCCCTCGTTCTGCTGTGCTTGCCCTGATGGGATTGGGAAAGAGGACATGAGGGGTGTCAGAGCATCCCTGTGAGTTTGCTGAATGAATGTGTGAGCTGGATAATGGAGCAGCAAGATGAATGAATGACCAACAAACCTGTAAAGCAACTGTGTCAGATGAGTTCAAATGCCAATTTCTTACCTCAGTTGTGTTTTTGCTCTGTGACACAGAATGACTACTTACAAGGTAAATCGATTTGAAAAGGTTTTCAACTTGACTTCAGGAAAGCTAATAACTCGGAAAGGAATAAAGTGAGTATATTTAAATTTTTTTTCGATGTTTAGAGCAGTGATTAGTGAGCTAGCAGACCAGTGATGAAAATCAGAAGTGGAATTTCTAATGAAATAGTATGGGGATGCTTAGCTTAGAGCCTTTTTAATCATCTACCTTATGATATGTTAAACCCAAAACACTTTGTACAAACCCGTAGTTTGATATACAGTGGAAGCTGTACTTTGAGATGGGTAAATTGTAACAATTTCCTTTTAGATGGAAAAGTACTGTGGAGCCAGAATCCATTTCTTTGGTTTGCCTTTATACTTCCTTGCAGCTGGTAATGAGCCATGGCTGTAAACATAAAAGGATTCATAAAGAAACACAAACCAACCTTCTCTGTGTTTACAAATTAAAAGTTTCATTAATTTTAATAACTTCTTTACTCTGCAGAACTTAACTCGTTTGAGGAATTTGGGAACATAGCAGTTGCTTTTCCACGGTTTTCCACAGGGTGGAGTAATAATGCACAAGCTGCTTTTGGCTTGGAGTAGAGCTAGTTTCAGAGTTTGTTCTCACAGATGTGTGTCCGTGGCTGCAGTCGTCTGCTGTGTGCCCTGTTACCTTCAGATACCATGCAGGAATTCGATGAGGGAAGCCAAGAGTGAGTTTGTGGAAAGGTGTTTGTCTTTAAAGCTCAGATATGCGAAGGGAAGGCCCACTGCCAGTCTGCATTTGGCACATGTCATATGGTTGTAATCGCTTGTGTAAATGTGAGATTCAAAACTTGCAGTTCCTTAATTAAGCAAATGTGAAAAATATTCTCAACAGGTCTAGAAATGGTTGTGTCTATTTTAGGAAGATCTATAAGCTTCATGCATGCTCTCTGTAAAGCTGTAGTTTATCATGCAGATATGGGGTGCTCTAGATATGTTATTCAGCTGTTGTAAAAATAATTATTAAGGAACATCTCCACTTCCCCTTTGATAAAACAGAGCAGTGCGTGTAGTTACAGACTGTATGTCTGGTATCACGTTCATTAACTGAAATGAGCTGCACTATTAATGAAAAGTTCTGAGATAAACTATTTTACAACAAATATGTGGTATAAAAGCTTAATTTGCTAAGAGAGAATAACTGTTTTTTTTGTATTGACTAGTATCTCTTAAGTGAAGGCATTCAGCTCATTTGTGTCTGTAAAACATACTGAATTGAACTGGAATATATCTCAGATCCTGAATGTGTGACTAAATGGGTATGAATCTTGTGGCAGAAGTTCAAAGGTGATTTGAAATCTACAGGGAAACCTTCTATTACAAAAACAATCCTGTTTTCTGTGCTAGAGACTGCAAAGTGCGAAACTACGTTTTTCAGGGTAGCCAGCCAAATGCAGTGTTGTTTTGCTTTTCAGTTGCTCCGAAGAAACTGAATGTCTAAAATTCTCTCTCTGAGGTCTAAAGTGTGTGTGGGGAGAAAAGCGAGTTCTCCTTTCCCTTAGAATTCAGCTTAGTGACAAACTTCTAACATTCCACGAGAATACCACTTGAATATCCGTTAAAATATGAAAATATCTTGATGTGTAAACATGAAGCATAAGGTATATTATGCCACCTAATTAAGAACTGATTATAAAGCAGCCTACCAGACAGAGAAATGTCTACAGTGCAGATACTCAAAGAGGATTTTTAGCATGAGATTTCAGAAGCTGTTACGTTCTGCTGTTTTGTTGAGCTGTGTCCAACTTTCAAACACTTACATTTTATAAAATAAAGTTTATCCAGCATGTGTGCATGAGGAACAAATGCTTTCCTGCCCTCCCCACCTCTCTTCACCCACGCCCTGGTCTTTTCCAGCTTTGTCCTGGTGAACAGTGTAGCCATGGACGGTGATGGCTGTGCTGTCTGCAGTACCTCAGAGGCAAAACTTGTGGCACTTTCTCACAAACTGAATTGCTCTCTGCAGGTAAGAGTTTATTAAATTTCTGATTACAGCCAGCAATGGGATATTGCCGCTACGTAGTTACCACAGCGGGAATACTGATACTGTAGCAATAATCAGACTAAACAAGACTCTCCTGAAAAAGATGTCTCCAATTCATATTGCAACTTGTTAGCAAAGCTTTCTCCTCATTTCTCTCTTACCATTTTTACTTGACTGTGTTGCTTTGCACTAAGGTGTTAATTTCCTTGTCAGGGTTGCCAACAGAGGGTGTCATTTCCTCTGTTCCAAAAAAAGGCAGAAGTTCTGTAATCCTCCCTTTGATTTAAAATACATAATCCTGCATTTATGTTGATGCATATTATTCTGTTTTATAGCCTTCAAGCTAGCCTATTATTTTAGTTTCCTGATTCTATTGCAGTCCTGTCTTGATAGCCTAGTAATGTTTTAATTGTATTATATTTTCATCAAATCCAATTGCTTCTTGTATTTCATTCCTCTTCACCTTCTCATAGGCCTACTGGACGCACAGTGGGCAGCATGACTGATGGGGCTGGCAGTCAATCAGGAAACCAGGTCCCAGTGGAAAAATTGGCAGACTGTCTCTCTCGGGCTGCCCCCAGTCTTTTGCCTTTGTGCAGTGAGATCCTGCTGTTGCTTTCTGCGTTCAGAAAGAGTGCAGCTGTATTTACAGCATATACAGAACAGGGAATTACATCACTCCACAGCAGAGACTCTCAGAAGTTCATACAGTGGATAGTGCTTAAACACTGTACTCTTCGCTGAAACTGCTTTCCCTTAAAAAAAAAAAAAAAAAGGCCAACAACCACCCCCCTCCAACCCCTCAAAACCTAGTTATTGCTTAATTTACCTTCACCCCTTCTATGGATCAATTTTATTCACAGAAACCAAATCATTCCAACAAAAGATGCAGTGATGTGGAAGAGCTTCCAGCTTCAGAACCCATTCTTTTACAGGTATGTTACAGGTGGAGGGAGGCAACATGTTGACATGGGCTTTTTGTGTATTTATTACTCTTCCAGAAAGGCTGGATCATTAATAACTGGTCCTTTCTTCTAATTACTCCCAGCATTACCCTCTCTATCGGAAAAGTGATGCTGAATGCAGTGGAGAAGATTCTGCTCCTCCAGAGGAGAAGAACACCCCCTTTAAAGAGAAGTATGATGTACTGTCTCAAGAGGCATCACAAAAGGTTTGATTTATTGGGAACTTGAGTATTGGTGGGTAGGTGAGAGGGGAACACAAGTGTAGCTATAAATAGATTAAAAACTTGTGGTAAGGCTGTTAGCTGGGACAAACTGACCACACCTGCTCCTGCTCTAATGAGGTCTATGAGAGGCTGCTTGTTAGAGCGGCTCCTCTGAGAATCGTTGCAATCATGACCTTGATCCTGCTGGGTTTTCCAGGCATAGGTCATAAATCCCAACACTCTCAAGTCTCCTGCAGTGCTGATACCTCCACTTTACAATTTTGTACTTTCTGTACCGTATAGAATTGCTGACAAAGCTGGTAGAAAGCCACAGTTTTCCAGTACTTTGAAAGCATTGTTTTTGCTGAATTAGTAAGTGCAGGAAAATGTAAAGATAAGGCATTCCCTAAAACCCTAATGGTCAGTAGTTTTTTCCTTCTGCATAAATGTCTTCTTTCAAGACTGTCAGTACAAAATTCTTCCTTAAACAAGAAAATAGCACTGCTTTACTAAACCCAAAGTTTTTCTACTTGTGATAGCAACAAGATGTTGCCTTTGTTCTTCTGATCTGTATGGCAAAAAAAATAACAGCCAGTAACTTGGGATCAGGGCCAAATGGGTGTGATTAATATTGCAATACCAACACATTTCTTACTGGAAAACATAACTTTGCATAAAACACTTTGTAAGAATATTAGAAAAAAAAAAGGGGTTTTTAAGTTACATTTTTTTTTTAGCTGTGACTTAAGTTTTGTGCTTCATCATTTTGCGTTCTAGCTGATATGGTGGTTTCACCCCCGTTTGATTCTCAGTGGACACACACATAGTGCTTGTGAAGTGCTGCATGCAGGGAAAATTCCAGAAGTCAGCGTCCCGTCATTCAGTTGGAGGAATAGAAACAATCCTAGTTTCATCATGGTAAGTTTTAATTTTTTTTTATTTTTGTCAGATAACTTTCATAAATAAATCAACATGGCAGTCAGCTATATTTTAAAACTGATTCTACCTGTAAAAACGAAAAAATAAAAAAAAAAATTGCCTACCCACCCAACCCACTCAGTACACTGCATCCACTTTATAAAGTACATCTGTGGGAGCCACATGTTCTGTGTGGTACAAAGCAATGCTGTTGAAGACCTAATTAGTATATGGGTACAAGCATCTAACATTTTCTTATAAAGAGGGTGCATTGTAAACTACTGACTTGTAAAAATAATCAGTATTGTGCACTGAACAGTAGAAAGACTAGTTTGACGTGGTTGATTTACCAGCTATGAAAACAAGACTGTATCCACCTCAGACTCTTTTGCAGGGTGATGATGGTTTTCAGACTTGTGCATTAACCGCTTCACGCAGTGACAGCGTTTGTGACGTGCCCACAATCTGCCTCCTCATTGCCAATTCACATTTTATACAGTGTGTTGGTTATGCTTGTGCAGGCAGTTCCAGTGCTCAGTATATCCTTAGAGGTAAATCAGTTAGTTCCCAAGTTCAAAAACAAAACAGAACTCCTAAAAACTTGGAGTAAGAAGCAAAACCTACTATCTGTTTACAGAGTAGTCTGTGACTCGAGGGGGGAATCTTTTATGTATTTTTTTACTGCTGTTGAGTTTAGGCTGCTTAATACACAGATAACCCCAAACTTCTAAATTCATTTTATGCAACTGTTAATATTTGTTGTTGAAAGTAGTTCTGTTTATTCCATATTCCTGAGAGTAGCTGCCTTCAAACTACACACATTCTCTGCACATACCAGACAGTGCATCTTCACTGCAAAACGAGAGGTTGGCTAATTGAAGTTGCATCATCTTCACTACTGTTTTAACTCCTCAGCCTCGGTCCATTGTGAACTTTAATTTGAACTGCAAAGTCAAGCCAAAACCCAATGAAGTTCTTTGTTGTTGAAGTTCATGTTTATAATTTGGATTAGCCAACGTGTTTTTTTGCAGCACGTACTGGGTAGGAGGAGGGTTCTGGAGGAGGAAGGGGCACATTCACAAAACCTAACTTTAGCTTGGAAAGGCTCCTTCCAGGTGGATTTACAGCAGCTAAAGTTAGGCTTCTCTTGAAGGCAAATCAGATGAGGAGCCCAGCTCTCTATTTACTCTAGATGGGAAGATTGGCCTCTGGGCTCGTGTTGGCCTGGTGAATATTCCAGTTAGTGCCCAGCACCGCAAGGTATGGACTCTTCAGCCCCCTGGAGAAGGCACTGGTACTAGGAAACTGGCCCCAACCCTTGCCACCCAACATAGGATTTAGAAATTGGAGATCTGACAGCCGTGGTGTTTACTCCTGATTTAGAACCCACTGTAACACAGCAAAGTGACAGTCTTCCTTTCTTTTCCAGGGCAGCATAACACCAACTGACTTCTCCCTCCAAAAATGCTTCCTTCCATATGAGAGCAGAGTCTTTACTATATACTGTGCAGCAGGTGCTCTGTTTGTGATCCTGATACTAGCTCATGTTCAGCTTCTCACTCCACCGTTTTATTTTGCTCAGCGTTTAATCAGTAAGCATAAAGCAGTATGAAGAGCCAGACATCTGCATTCAGTCACTGAAATACCAAAGCTGAGAACAGTCAAACATCAGACTATATTCATGCCAGCAAATGACCTAATTTGATTGCTAGTCTGAAGGCAGGTTGCATTTATACATACCATAGAAGTCCTATACAGCTGATATGACTACTACAGGATAAATAATTAACTGAAATGAACGTTTCATGCTGTACAAAAATACTGTATTCGACAATCAAATGAGTCCTTTTCCTGCTATAATTTTTGTATCAAATATGTATATTAAAAGTGTAACTGTACATTATGTAAATCCTATAGCCTCATCACTTGTCTGCACTAGTGTCTTACCCTGGTGGAGGCTGAATCCTGCAAACTGGAAACGTTTCTCTCTTTTATTGCTGCATGGCCCTTCTAATGTCATGCTTGTGTTCTAGGGTCAGGCAGAAACTAGATGCATCAGCACTGAGAGATGCTGATTTCCATAACCTTTTTAGGGTGTCATTTGTAAGGGGACTGTGGTTTGGGACAAGAGATCTTCTGGTTCTTGACACAGTAAATTGTTAGCTGACTGTAATTTGCAGTTATCGTCTACCAGACAACAAAGGGAAGAAGCTTGTGGATCCAGTTTGCTGATACACACTTAAAACCTGCTTAAAAAAAATTAGGGTGACACCTCAAGCTGCTATTTTCAAAGAGATGTGCTATGATGAGCTTAAAAAAAGAGGGCCCTATTGCATCCCAGAGATCTGTGTGGTGAGAGGCCCTCCAGTTTCTGATCTCCTGCAAGAAGGGAGGTCAAATACAGCTGCAGTAACATCATCCTATGCCTTGGCCCTCAGTCTACGGACAGATAGGGATAGGAGTGCATGTTATTTTAGATTCCTGCAGGGTGCCAAGTCCTGTTGACTTTGTTGTAATGTCACATGTTGAACTGCACCAGAGGCCGAGGCCACCAGCTGTGCCACAGGCCCCAGCCTGGGGGTCAGCACGGAGAAGATAAAATCTGAGCTCAGCGTCTTCACTGTGTGAGGGAAGGTGGACAAACCTACTGCTGCTCCCCACCTGCCCTGGAAAAAACAGAGGGACTATTTCACACCAGAACCAGTTTTCCTGCTGATGTTCCTGCAGAGGCTGGGAGCTCTAACCTGAACGTCTGTGCTGGGGATAGCTTAAAAAAAAAAGACTGTCTTTTGTTATTCGCTCTATTACTTTCTTTGGCATGGGAAAGAAGTGAGAGAATTTTGGGAATTTTGTTTACTATTAGCTTATTCCACCCAGCCTTTCACTTTTTGGGAAATATAACTAAATTGAACATAACACATTTCTGGGAAAAGAAATGGTCATATTATAGTATCTAAAATGGGACTGTTTTATATTTAACTAGAAACAAGTTCTCAACTGGTCTGTAGTCTGAATTTAAAAAGAAGTCTGATTGGGGTTTATAACTAATAATGATACTTACAGTAAAAAGTTAATAAAACCTACTAATTTTTATGCCAGTGTGGGGACTGTGTTAGCTCTTAATCTCTCCCTAAATTTAAAATGGAGTGGGGGGAATGGTCCAAAGTGTGGTAAAACACTCTATAAAGTAATGTAGTCTAACATTTCTCTAGGTTTCTGTTATTGCAACTGTAATTTTAGACATTTGTACAGGTTATCTTGGACACAGGAAAAGTATATAGTCACAGACATAAAACACCTATGTATAAAATATAAAGCAGTGTTATAGTTACTAAAAAGGACATGCCTTATTGCTACAGCAATTCTTGCTTTTTATATATTGTACTGTACCACAACTTGTTTTGAGAATGTCATTTGCATAAATTATTCAAGTTTGAGAAATATTCACACATTTTGATTCTACAATATTTAAAATAAAACAATTTTCTAATGTGTCTCTTTATTAAAAGAGAAATAAAAATGTCATCTTGTAATTCTCTTAGGCCAGACACAAGGGTTTATACACCTTTTTTTTTTTCTTATCTTCTTTCTTGATATTTACTTGCACAATGAAAGCTGCTGTTGGTACAAAGATTGAAGAGCTCTATATAATGGTGCTTTACACATTCACAATCGGTCTGTGCAATTGTGAAGTTCTATGAATGACCAAAGAATTACCAAACATATTTTCTAAATATAAAGGACAAAAAAAAAAAAAAAAAGAAAACTAAATCCTTGGTTCCCATTAAAACAACACCAGGTTGCAATTTGGACACTTGAATGAATTCCAATGTTTTAAAGCTGAGACTTCAAAAGAGAAAGGCATGTTTGCTGCAACATCCGGTGACTGTAATACCTTACTTGGAAAGGTAAGTGGTTAATTTGCATAATTTATAATTTTTATACTAAAGAGCATTTTTATATAAACCAGAAAAAAACCCCTAAACTCTACAGATAAAGTTCTTACCTCCAGTCACTGCTGAAGGTAAGGTTGACATCAAGCTGTACAGCGCAATCAAAAACATACTTACATCTTAGCTCATTTTACAGGTACAGCCATAATCAAGGCACAAAGATCTTCTACAAGTATTTTTCTTCAATAAAGTTGTACAAAATAATATTACATTTTACAGTCTGTACAATATAATAAACCAGCAATAAAACAAAAAAATATATATAGGGAGAGGACTGTTGTCCAAGAATGATCGGAACTAAAAGGATCATTTGTGGACAGCACAAATAACATAAGTGAGGGTGGTAAATTTTCTGCCTAGATGCAACAGGCTGAAAAGTAGCTGTAATTCAAATGCCTGAGGTGTGCAGAGACACTTAGCTCCAAAACCCCAGAAAAATTGCTTTGTCTTCACTGTTCCTCTCATTATCTACTCTACTTCCTGTGCCAGTAACGGCTTAAAAGAGGAGGTCACTTTATCAGTTGACCTGCAACTCAGAAATGCTAAAAACTGTGACAGAGTAATAAATATTGTGGTGCTGCTACATTGTGTGTCTACTTCCTCAACAGTATTTAATAACCTGATACAAAGTGCATTAATCTTTTTTTCACCCATCAAGTACTCTTCAATGTCATGTTCAAAAGGAAACCCACACAGAGGGATAGGTATGACTTTAGTGTCATCCAGCTGACATACCAGTTTGAACTGAGGTTAACCCGCTGGAAAAAATTTAGCAGGTCACATTCAGTTTAAAAAAACAAAACCTAAGGGAACAGAGGTAGCCGAGGGGCTTAGTGGAATGACGAAGAAGTGGCATGTCAAAATAAAGCACAAAAATAGTCCCAAAAAGCATGAAGGAAAAATAACCCAAACTTGCTTCAAATCAGCTTTAAGGTTAAATAATTAAAGTAAACAAAGTGAAGAGGCTGACATTTCTATAGTATATTCTTCCACCCTGTGTGGGGTAGTATCAAGAGAAAGAGTAAGGAGCAAAGAATTTAAAACCACAGGTTCCACGGTGATCCCCCTCACAAGAGTTCGTACTGGCGGAGATGCATCCTTTGAATGATGTCTCGACAGTCGTTGAACACTCTGCGGATATTTTCTGTGTCCACTGCACATGTAAAGTGTGGGTAGCAATAATGCCGGCCATCTCCACTCGCTGTACTTATCCTCTGTGGAAAAGGTAAGGCAAAAAAAAAAAGAGTCAGGTGCTGTGCCATGAGAAGTTTCATGTCTCAGCAGTCTATAGACTTACGGAGAACCAAGGACCCTGGAAAATTCTGTATATAGAGCACTAAAGTAGGTAAATAAGAAGGAAAGGCTGTGATCTGGTCCAATATGAATGACAAATTTGAAATGAAGATTAAAAAAAAATTATGGAGTTATATACTTACAGGGTCAGCATATTAGTACTTTGTGGGAGCCACCGATGCCATCATCAGTTTCACAAGCTATTACCATTTGCACATCGCTGTGCAGCTACATCTGTGCCGCTGACAGCTGTGCAGTCTGCCATGCAGCTGTTCCAGGAATTATTTTCTCTTCTTTTCTGGTGCCATCATGTGGCAAATTTTTGAACTCTTGTTTTAAATCAGCAACACAAAACTGAAACGTTGTTAAGCCAGCAGTGGCAGAGAACAGCATCCTACTGCTTCTGCTTCTTGAAGCTGAAGGCCCCTGAAGTTACCTTCACTTAGAGCACCTATTAATCCATCACTGAGCCCAGAACCTGGTGGAATTATTACCAGAGTGGCTGGGTTCCCACAGAGTAATAAAGCATGTACAAATCCAGTAAGCATGAGACCATGCAGAATTACATTTTCTCAAGGCTACTGCACAACTTTTTAGGTTCTAACCTATCCTTCAGCATCACTTCCCCCATAGTTATCTTGTTGAAATTCCCCAGGATCTTAAAAAATACTAAAGAAAAAACCCCTTAATTTTGTTCTGTATTCCTATAGGACTGATAAACATAAATACATTCTAGATCATTATCTTGCAGAATATAGATGGAATGTTATGGAAGCAGAATGTCAGTTTTTAGGATAGTAATTTTATAAATATTTTCTAAATTCTATTACAAAATTACACCGGCTAAACAACAAAAGACACTCTTTTATCTTACCCCGGCTACATTATATATTTTTAACAAAGTGATTTATTTTACATGTAGGACTGACCTTTTAAATACATGCAGCTACAGATATGCAATACTATAGACATTTAGAAGTCATGATTTACATAATTAGGTCAACAAGAAATTGCAGACTTTTGCAGGTAACTTAGGTAAGATTAGATATTCAGCACGGATTACACAGGGGTATTCCATACACTTTCTATAAATTATTTCCTTTTTACTATGCTACATTCAATACCTAGTTCAAAGCTCACTCTCATGAAAAATACTAATAAGTATTTGCCTTTGTTTATCATACACTGATGTCTATGGCAATCAAATGCCCACGATGTTCTGGTGACACCTGGTTACATAAACAGCATGCCAAAGGACGTATTTTCAAAATATTAGGAGTTTGTCTATTTTTGTCACCTGACAACTCTGTAGTTCTCTCGTTTTAAAGACAAAAGCAATAAATGAACCCCTACGCAAAACTCATTTTGAATAGTAGTGTGTTACTTAGCACCAGTTCAGAGGGTGAAAAAACCCAAACCCTGGGACAGCAATGAAAGAACATTCACCTTCCAAGTGGGAGTATTTAATACCAGTATTTAACACCCCTGCACTGCAGGGGTCAGGATGGCAGTTTCCAGCGAGGAGCCATATGCACAATTCGAGGAAGTCTGGTCTATGTATCTGAATAGCAGCTCCTTCACCTCCCAGATTCAGACTTTTTAAAAACCAGCATGAACTAGAGTGGCCATTCCACTGTTTTAACAGGGGTTGCTTACAAACTGGGGATGTATTCAAACAAAACATCAGCAGCTGGAGAGGCCTGTGTACAAAACACCAAAATGGGGCTAAGGAGTAGCCTCAACAAGGAGTGCACAAGCCCGTTGCCTCCATGAAGAGTCTGGGAGGAGAAATGATGTGCCTCAGCTAAAGCATGGAGAATTTCCTATAAGATACCTTTCCAGGACTTGGAGATGTGCTCGCCAGCCCAGCCCTGAAGTGCATGAGCCCCGAGCTGGGCACGTGCCCAGCCAGCCTTCACACGCTGCTGTCCTGACTGAAATCCAGTGGTGCCCATCTTTGCTGCCCAAACCCCCAGGGGCCACTTGCCCCCACACCAACCCTGAAATCAGGAGCTGATTATTTTGCCTTTCTAATGCTCAGACCCTACCATGTGGCACTGGCTACTGGGAACGTGGGCAGTTTCAACCCCCTTCTAAAATTAGCCAAATTACATGCTTTAAATTTGCCAGTACCATTGACTACAGCCAGGCAGAGTTTTAGAGGGTGCAGCACCATGGTGGTACTTTTCACACGTATCCATAGCTTATGCAGACCTGCTACCATGCCAAAAATCACAATAAAGCATAATAAACCCAGATTTCTTCGAATCATCAGAACCCTCCCCAGTCTGTACCGAGTTAATTTTCTCTGTTCCTTTTGTAACTCCCTCTGAGACCTCAGTCTTTCTTGCCTGACACCATGGAACTGGAAGTCACCATTTCTGCTTGGCTTTCTCCCCTACTCACTCTATCCTGTTACTTGGGGCACACACAGCCTGCTCTGCGGGAGGGGTTGATAGCATGACTTTCAGTTCAAACAGTCCAAGAGCATAAAGCAACTGTTCGGATGACTACATCCCTCTGTTCCATCCTGCTGAGAAACCAAGCCCAAACCCAGGAGAGACACACATTATGGAGGAGATGCTCTCTGCCAAGCCTGCGGCAGTTGCAGGGAAAAGCTGGGGGAAAAGCTGTTTCAGCCCCACACCTGAGCCCCAGGGACTGCCTGGCAGGTGCTGGCCCCAGCCCAAATGCGTCCCCCACCCCCAGCACCCGTGGTGGTTTTTTATGTGATTGCAATGCCTACATCGCCTCCCCTATCCACTTCATAGGTGGCCTCCTTCTGTAATGCCAGTGAGTCATGGTAGGTAAGGACCTCGCCCTTGATATGTTTTTTTTAAATAATGAAAATAGATAAAAAATAGATAAAGGTGGGGAGTTTCACCCTAGTTTCTCCATAATTCAGATCTCTTAGAGCCACCTTGCTTCCAAACTGGATACTATCACCTGCTTCACAGTATTTCAGCATTACCACAAGAGAGATTTGGCCTGAAGTGAGGTTTTTATGGTAACTCTTACGTTAACAGTGCAATCTGACATTTTTCCTCAGAATCTGGAAGGTTTAGGCAGTGAATGGAAATCCCCAAAGTGTGAACACAGATTAATTGCTTCTTTCTTTCTTGGTGTGTCAACAGCGGTAAATCCTAACAATACTTGTAAATACATAATGACTTTAAAATGCTTAATTCTAATGAATCAATTTGTTATCTCAAACACACACATATAGTTTCTTTCAGCAGGGCTCGACGGATGAGCTTTGGTTCTGGTCTCTGTTACTGCTCTGCACTGTGGGAACAACTCACTATGAGTGAAGCCATAAATGATGCTGGATTAAACCCTCTGATTCTGACAGAAGAGCTGGGCTGTGTTCGTGTGCCTAACTGCTTTTATCTTCAAAATTTAGACAACACCTCTTCAGCTCCAGCTTCAGAAGAAACCTCAATCGCAAGAGTAAATGTGGCTAGACAAGGAAACTTTCTTATGGTTCCTC